CATACTGCAGTGAGCATAGGGTGCACATATCTTTGAGAATAAACGTTTTCGAGTTTTTCATGTAGATACCCAGAAGAGGGATTGCTGGGTCATATTGGTAACTCTATTTTTAATTTTTTGAGGAACTGCCATACTGTTTTCCATAGTGGCTGTACCAATTTATAGTAATATTAATTCACCCATGAAGGTAGAACAATAATGATGAAAGAACCTGTTATTGATGCTCACCGTGCTTTGGGCTCATTAGTGAGACCATATGAGGTAGAGATCATTATTATCCCCACTTTTCAGGTGAGGATGGAATTTAATGAACTTCCCAAATACATATGCCTCATAAGTGGTAAAGATGAGACTTAGCCCAAGTCTTCTCACTCCTTGGTTTGCATGTGTAGCCACTATGCTGGTTATACATGCAGACCAAATATTCTACATACTATCACAATCACTTTCGGAGAGCATAGCAAACAAACAAAAAAAGTAGTAAGTCATCTTTTATAGTTATATGTGGTCATTTCTGTTAATAATGACCAGGTACAAATGTGCAGTAGTATTTGCTCTATCGCTGCAGTTCACCTGCATATCCTGGTGCTCTTGCTTCCTTCCTAATTCCCATCTACTCCACTTATTTCCATGGCCCAACCCACAACCAACTGTGTGTACACTGACGCATGGTGGAGAGCCATGACTGCAACCTCACTTTCATTAACCGAAATGAAGCCTCAACTCCAAGCCATCTGGAAAGTGAGAGTTGAGGTCACAATTATAGTGGAAGGTTGGAAAAAGGAGGAAGATGAGGGAAGACAAGGAATGTTATAGATTTCAAAATATAGATGCCCCACTAATGGGGACTGTATCTTGTTAGGTCAATGAGTTAGTGCTTTTTGAATGCTGGGGTTGCTCTATCACTGAGAGCTGTCATTTACATTACATTGACATTTTACCACCAGGCAAACTTAGATTTTCCAAAAGAAAGCATCCATAGACATTTGTCCAATTTTAAATTACAGGTCAAATTAAGCTAACTGAACCCATGTCCTCTTATTACTGTGATTCTGAGGTCATGTTACAAGGCTGTGCCCTTCCCATGCCCAAGGATAGATGTGGGCATGGCTTTTATTTTTGTGGAGCTCACTCCAAGGGCACCAGACAGGGCTGGGCAACTCATGCCACTGCTCGATCTGTGGCATCAGAAGTTGGCGGCATCTCATACCAGCCTACTGAATTTGAATCTTTTCAGATCTCTTATTAAATCATTTATATAAAAGTAAGTTATTTTTTTCTTATTAAGTCACTGAACCATTTGCTGTTAGCAGTTGCTAAGATAGTAAAAGAGCAAACTTCAGAATAAATTTATTTTGTACACAAACATGGAGCAGATATCATTTGAAACCTGGTTAAGCAATCATCCCTGGAAAGACTGTCTTCCAGGGTGTGGCTCAGCTACTACACTAGGGCCTTGGTTTACTGTGACTCTTAAACTGTATTGAGTATCAGAATTGCCTGGAAGGCGGGTGAAAACATAGATAGCTGGGAACCTGCCCCCCTCCTGGAGAGTTTCGGGCAGTAGGTGGTTGGGCCCTGAAATTATCATTTTTAACACATTCCTGGGTGACGCTGACCCGGCTTCTCTGGGGACTAGAAGCTCAGCATCCTTTGATATGACAGGGTTTATAGCTTGCCAGACATCAATACAGAATTTTATTAACAAATTAATGACATTCTTTTGAGTTGTTCATGTTTCATGTTGAGTCCCAAGTCAGGAATAAAAGCAATGCCTCAGCTCAAAGCAGTTAGGTAGGAAGTGTTTTACGTTACTCACAGGAGAGTCAGTCTTCATTCTGTTCAGACCTTCAACTGATTGGGTGAGGCCCACCCACATTGAGGAGAGAAAACTGTTTTGCTCATTCTACTAATTCAAATGCCAATCTCATCCAGAAACACCGTCACAGGCACACCACACCCAGGGTAATGTGCAACCAAGTACCTGGGCACCCTGTGGCCTAGTCAAGTTGACACATAAAATGATTACATTGGGCTTTCTTAAAAGCCTGCCTACAGAGTTATGACACAGAGTACATGTTTTATTTCGTAAAGAGTAGGGAAACTTCTATATTTTTTGTTCATATTCCAGTTCAATGATTTGCATAGTAGAATATGATCTTGTCAGTTATTTAATAGCTACATTCTTCCTTTCTAATCCCTAAGTAGATAAAAAGTTGCAAGACTAAACTAAATCATTCTGAAAACAAAAACAAACTGGGGAAATAGTACCACAGCACCATGATTTGGGACATCTCTGTTTGCCTAGGAATGACTCTCCCACATTATTATTCTACAGAACATTAGTATCAAGTGTTAATATGTACAAAGTGATTCTATGTATTTCTCAATGAAGACATATGGCTGACTTTCAGTCTTTGATGCAATCATATACTGCAATCATGTACTGTATAAATAGACAGCTATTATCATAAAGGGCTAAATGAAAAAATCAAATTTTTTTTTAATCCTCACCCAAGAATATTTTTTTTTCCTTGGGTGAGGATTAGGTGGAAGGGAGGGAGTAGGCGGGGGAGAGAGAGAGAAACATCAATGTGAGAGAGACACATTGATTTGTTGTCTCCTGTATGCTCCCCAGTGGGGCTGAGGATTGAACCTGCAACTGAGGTACATTCCCTTGATCGGGAATTGAACCTGAGACCCTTTGGTTTGCAGGCCAACACTTTAACCACTGAGCAAAACCAGCCATGGTGAAAAAATTAATTTTTAAAACTTGTTTTCCAGACTAAAAAGCTCCCTTGATTGAAATTTTGCTGAGCATCAGGTAGATAAAATATATATATCTTTTTAATCATCATCTATTTTAGTCTGTTGATAAGCTAAGAGGCAGCAAATAACTCTGATTTTAGCTTTTTTTTTGCAAAGACATAATTTTTCATTGTGGAAACTATCCAGTTAAGCACAGGATTTCAAGGTCTTAGTGGAATTACTGAGTTATAAGCTTTTCACTCCAACCCAATTAAATAAAATTTATGAAATATTCATTGTGCAGATTGCATAGAAGATAACAAAAGAAAATACTAAGTGGCTCAACAAAATCATTATCAATATAAATACTGCTCTGATAAAGTCAAATTTGCCATGGTAATGATTAGACAATATTGTCCCATGACTGTGGATTCTTTTCCAAAGTATATTCTTTATTGATTTTTGGACAATATCCATTATTTCCCCAAATAAAATAAGTTACAAGGTAAGTTACAAGGTACTTAAACAATACAGTCTAAAATGAACTGAATCACCATTACTCAGCATTCAAGTGTGAGCAGATACAAAAAAAATGGAAATTGCAAAACTTCTGTGTAATCTTGCTGATGCCAAAACATGGTAAAGATTATTATAAATTTGTTCAATATGTTCCAATGTATGGTGATTCAAGTTAATTGTGTCATATTTTGGTGAATATATCATGTTTAAACAATGGAGAGGTTATGTAGTATATGTTTTATTAAAGAATGCTGTTTATTAATAAAATTCTGTACTCCTATATGGCAAAAGGAACTCTGTTGTATCAAGCAATGTCGTATCCAACTCTGCTCAGAGATAACTTGTGGTTTTCATGCCGGTGCACAGGATCCTATGGGTGTACCCTGGGTTAAGGAACATTCCTAACATTCTTCATTATTTTTATATAACACACACACACACACACACACACAAACACACAAACATTATCAGAGAGCATTGAGAGTCCAAGTGTTGTAGGAATAATGTAACTTTGAATTTGCCTCTGCTCTATACTAAGTGCAAATCATTTGCTAAGCCTGGATATTTCAGCTTTTAATTAAAAATGATGTGGAGCGTAGCTTACAAATTTCAAACTTGATGCTCCAAAAAGTGCTACCACTGGCCCCACCCTCAGGAAGCAACAACTGACAAACATCAGCTCCACTACAGAGATTTACATACCTGTGAGCCTAGGGAGGCAGGGAAAGAGGACAAGAAGAGGTGAATACAAGAAGATGCAATGCATGATCGATCAGCACTCACAACTTTAAAATTACTTAACACAGAACCACTGCTCTTGGAGGAGGAGACCCATGAGGAAAGGCACTATATTTCATCCCTATCACGCTCCCCCAAGTAGCCAATTCGGAGTCATAGCCTGTGCTCCATAAATTCTTGTAACTAATTTTAACATAGAGTAAAAGCCCACTGTGACACATGTTTGTATGTTGCTTTGCCTTAGATGGTAGTAAGTACAGAGTACATTTTTCTAACTTTAGCATAAAATGGCCTGTGCATATTTTTTATGATAAGGGGTTCTGCTTGTAAAAATCAAAGCAGGTCAACAGCAGATTACCTCATTTATTTACTTCATAAGCCTCTACTGCTTTTAGAATAGTATCTGGTGATTTCAATTACATCGTCAATCAGCTTGGTCCGCAAACCATGGTTCTGGGAAATCCACTGTATTCTAATGAACGCTTTTTTGAGCTCTGTGCAAGGACTTACACTGTAGAGATGAGGAATCTTATGATTTTTGCGTTTAAGGAGCCAAGTGCAGGGGAAGTGCGGAGCATCTCCTGCTATCTGTATGTCTAAGGCATCTGGAAATAAGGTTGCAGGAGACCTAGGAAGGAGGAGAGTGTGGCTTGGGCAGTAGAGACCCCCAGTTAGCTATTCCGTCCCCCTCTCCCACGCATTGGGCCTGGGGAGGTAGAGGTGGAGATGGCAGACTGGGGCAGCGAGAGAGTTAGGGCTGGTGGTGGGAAGATTGGGGGGAAAACAATCTACTGATTTTGGAAATCTGTCTGAGCCTACTTAACAGGGTGTTTAATCACAATAAAACCTAAGTACAGGGAAAATAAGGACTCCTGTTTGTGGTGAAGATTGGACCCAAGGCCTAAATGACATGGATAAGTAACATTTTAAAAAGAAAACGTTGTAAAGCCCCTCTTTTCTCTTTCTATTTTTTAAGGACAAGAGAGAAGAACACAATGGAAAAGACGCTGCTGTGGTTGATCTTTTTCACGCTTGGGTGGCCCCTCACTGATGGATCAGAGGTGGAGCAGGATTTTATGTGGCATCTGAGAAAAGTACCCCACTTGGGTGGCCCCTCACTGATGGATCAGAGATGGAGCAGGAGCAGGATTTTATGTGGCATCTGAGAAAAGTACCCCGGGTTGTCAGTGACAGGACTTTCCATCTCACGAGCCCCACGTTTGAGGCCGATGCCAAGATGGTGTTAAAGAAAGTGTGTGGCATCGAGTGCCAGAAAGAACTCCCTGCTCCCAGCCTCTCTGACCTGGAAGATTCGCTCTCCTACGAGACTGTCTTTGAGAATGGCACCCGGACCTTGACCAGAGTGAAAGTGCAAGGTCTGGTCCTGGAGCCCATGCCGAACACCACCGCCAGAGGGGCCTCGGCGAGGAGAAAGAGGCAGGTGTATGGCACAGACAGCAGGTTCAGCATCCTGGACAAAAGATTCCTCACCAACTTCCCTTTCAACACAGCCGTGAAGCTGTCCACGGGCTGCAGTGGCGTCCTCGTGTCCCCCAAGCACGTTCTGACCGCCGCCCACTGTGTGCACGACGGGAAGGACTATGTGAAAGGGAGTAGAAAGCTGAGGGTAGGGCTGCTGAAGATGAGAAATAAAGGAGGTGGCAAGAAACGTAGGGGTTCCAGGAGGAGCAGGAGAGAAGCCAATGGTGATGACCAACGAGAGGGCAGCAAAGAGAATCTGAAGGAGAGAGCCAAGGCTGCAAGGAGGAGAAAGAACTCTGCTGGGGGTCAGAGGGGCGCTGAGGGCGGGCCCTCCTTCCAGTGGACCCGCGTCAAGAACACCCACATCCCCAAAGGCTGGGCCACGGGAGGGAGAGGGGCCGCCGCCTTGGACTACGACTACGCTCTTCTGGAGCTGAAACGTGCTCACAAAAAGAAATACATGGACCTAGGAATCAGCCCGGCCCTCAGGAAGCTGCCCGGGGGCATGATCCACTTCTCCGGCTTTGATCAGGACAGAGCTGATCAGCTGGTCTACCGGTTTTGCAGCGTGTCCGAGGAGTCGAGTGATCTCCTCTATCAATACTGCGATGCCCAGCCGGGCTCCACCGGCTCCGGGGTCTACCTGCGTCTGAAAGAGCCAGACAAGCATTGGAAGCGCAAGATCATCGCGGTCTATTCCGGCCACCAGTGGGTGGACGTGCAGGGCGAGCAGAAGGACTACAACGTGGCGGTGCGCATCACGCCCCTCAAGTACGCCCAGCTGTGCCTCTGGATCCGCGGGGAGGACGCCGACTGTACTTACGGGTAACGGGACCCCGAAACCAGGCCACGGACGATCTAAGTCGCAGGGGAAACCAGTTCCGATGATTGTAGCAAGACCACCTCACGGAGTGTGCCTGGACACGAACTCTATTAATAGCATTTCAATATTTTTATAAATTTACTTTTGTCAAAAGGAGGAGATTTTCCTGCATGTAAAACCGTTTAGGTAAAGTTATTGATGGGCATTTCCATGCCAAGTATATATTCTTCTTCACATGGTGGTAAGTTTGGTTTGTGCAAAGTAATTTTTTTTCCTGCTAGCCTTCTTAAAAATTAGACACTCTTTAAAACTTCAAGCTGATCCTATAAACAATGTGATTTCTCAATGGAGTTATTCTCAGGGTCCTACCCCAAGAAGAATCTACTGTGGTGCTGGGCGCCAATTAAAGGTGAAACGGCAGATACAGAGGCGGACAGGTCACATTTCAAATCGAATTAGAGACAAACATTCACGACAGTTAGGACTACTCTGAGATGGACCCATTCAGTGCATGCCCTCCGTGTTTATATTGCTTTCTCTTGGGTCTGAGAAACTTCAGTTTTTTGTTTGTTTTGTTTTTTAAAGAATTACAAGGAATAGCTTTATCAACAGAACTGTCACCTATCGTACTGCTTTGAAAGATATCGACTGAAGTGTGTATAGTTTAAAATGAAAGAAATACTTCATCCTAGGAAATAAATCTAGTTTAAAAATAGGGAAGCTGAGACCTTTTAAGATCTCAAGCTTTTATTTAACTAGTGTTCTAACCATGGGCTTTTCATGCATGCATAGGGGAGACAGCTCCACAGTTGTATATGGCCTTGCATTTGAAAGGCACATCACTTTATGCTACACAGTCTCCCGTGTGTTCTTAGGACAAGCAATTCTCGTCTTTCTCAAGCGAGAGTCTTTTTTCCCTTGACAAAATTCAGCTTTCTTCATAGGGCCTTAGGCGTATTATTTTTGGCGAATTCTCTGAGTAGCAATTTTAAATAGCTTCCTTAAAATGAATACGATCTAAGAATACTTTTACAAAGAAGGTTCGGATTATTTTCATTAGAGACCAAGGCTGTTCACTCACTCTGGCCATCATGGCAGCCTCAGCAGACAGAGTCCACCGGTTGCCCTGGGGCACTTGATACCTATTTCCTGAATGGTTATAAAAGGGCATTAGTTCAGGCTCTTATTTATTACTTTTTTTTTTTATTAATCCTCAACCAATGATATATTTTTCATTGATTCTAGAGAGAGAAACATTGATCGGTTGGTTGCCTCATGCCTGAGCCCCGACCAGGGACAGAACCTGCAACCTGGGTATGTGCCCTGACCCGTAATCAAACCCATGAACCTTTGGTGCACAGGATGACGCTCTACCCACTGAGCAACACTGGCCAGGGCCAGGCCTTTATTTCCAAGGGGTTTTAGTAATTTGTAGATGAATGAACCATGAAATTCAGGAACTACCAGCCTAATCTCTGGTCTGCTCTTCCTGGCAGTTTCGAGGGAACACATTCTCTTCTGTCATGACACACCCAAGTTACTGATTTTGCCAGAGCTCAAATTTGTTTTATTTGTTATTATTGTTTTTATGAATGGGGAGTTAAATCCTTGATTAGTATGCATAGGAATATCTGATCAGCTTATGATAAAATGGTTTGTAAATTGTGTCCAAAACAGCTGAAATTCAACACAAGTGTACATTCTTTTATGTGAGTTGGTGAAAAAAATCATTCAATAAAAAATTTTAAAAGTAAATCAGTTATAACTATTATTGTGTTTGTATATATTTTTTATGAAGGGTTTCAGCAAGTATTAAATCAACTGTCATTTACTTAAAAATGATTCTATTTCATTCTAACCACATTTCACTAAGTAGTATTTTATTATTGACACTAGTGGAACAGGGCTACTGACTCAAAAGATTTGTTCAGATCTTTTTTGAAAAATCATCTATATGATCATTGCAACTAAAGATGTTTCCAGGTGAATTTTTCACACTTATTGCAAACATGCACACACAAAACTTCATCTTAGATGCTTACAAAATAATTCCTGGGATTTGTAAATTCAGAGTAATTTAGGGTGTTTAGTGTCAGTAGTTTGGTGTTTAAGGTTAAATTCTGACTATACATAATCTCCTTAAAATCATTGTACTTTTCAAAAATATAACATGTAGCTCATTTTCTTTGCAGAGCTTTATTTGATTCTCCCATTCTCTTATCTTTTCTAACTGAATGATGAATCGATGGCGAATTCTTCTCATCAGATGGGGTCACTGTATAGGATACACAGTTTTTTTATCCACTTATCATATACCAAAGGGGAGAAAACACCCTCAAATGGTTTTCTAAAGTCTAGGGAGGAAAATTCCCTGTTCACTTCTTTCTGTAATTAATAACTGGAAGTTGCATCCTGTGCATATGGTGTCTTAAAATAATTTGTATTCCCAATTTGGGCTAATTTGCTTCACCCACAGGGGAGGTATTGTCTTAATCTGCTCGCTATCATAACAAAATATCATAGACTGGTGGCTTAAACAATAGAAATTGATTTCTCACAGTTTTGAAGGCTGGGCATTTCGGCAAGGTAGGTTTCTGAAGCCCCTTTTCTTGGTTTGGAGGCCAGCCATCTTGCAGTGTGCTCCCATGACCTCTTCTCTGTTTACTCTCAGAGAGAGAGCTGTGAGCTCTTCGGTGTCTCTTCATAAGGGGACTAATCCCATCAAGAGGGCTCCACCCTGATCCACTTATCATATACCAAAGGGGAGAAAACACCCTCAAATGGTTTTCTAAAGTCTAGGGAGGAAAATTCCTTGTTCACTTCTTTCTGTAATTAATAACTGGAAGTTGCATCCTGTGCATATGGTGTCTTAAAATAATTTGTATTCCCAATTTGGGCTAATTTGCTTCACCCACAGGGGAGGTGTTGTCTTAATCTGCTCGCTATCATAACAAAATATCATAGACTGGTGGCTTAAACAATAGAAATTGATTTCTCACAGTTTTGAAGGCTGGGGATTTCGGCAAGGTAGGTTTCTGAAGCCCCTTTTCTTGGTTTGGAGGCCAGCCATCTTGCAGTGTGCTCCCATGACCTCTTCTCTGTTTACTCTCAGAGAGAGAGCTGTGAGCTCTTCGGTGTCTCTTCATAAGGGGACTAATCCCATCAAGAGGGCTCCACCCTGGTGACCCCACCTAGCCCCAATGACCTCATTCAGGCCCGCTTTTTTGGGTAGGGCTTCAACATATGAATTGGGGGTGGGGGTAGCGCACAAACATTCAGTCCATAATAGGTGTCTATTCTAAACTTACAAGTTGCATGTTGGGCCAGGGCCAGGGAACTCACAAACATCCCAGTCACCAGAGGAACTAGGTTAAGGGTTATGAATGGCAGCTCAGGCCAACCAATCGCCTTCTTCCCACTTTCATTATCATCATCTCAAGTGCTCATACCTGGGACATAGGAGGCAATTAATATATGCTTAAAGTATCAAGTATTCATTGAAGGCATTATTTACTCTCTGCTACATGATAAGCCTTCAAATAATTAGAGCTATTATCTTAAGTGTATATTGTATTCAAGATAAAGCTACATATCTAAATAATGGAAATACTTATTATAATGAGAATTTTACTCTCAGAATATTGTGGCACTTAAGGAATCAGATATTTGCCATATTCCCTACTGACTTGTTTGAGTTTCTGATGAGCATGCCTTCAAACTGACAGGTCCCAGGCTCCTGCAGCGACTCCTCATCCTCTCCATCTGCCATGTAAACATTTAATAAGATAAACTCTGCCTCAGAACATGCCTTCAAAATACTTTTGTTTTAGTAATATTTTAAACTTTCCAATAATATCTTAAGATCCCTTCACTTTTTTCAAGCACTGGGCAGAAGCTGGCTACTTAGAATATCTACTTCAATTCACAATGCAGCCAATATGTGAATTTATTATCTATTTTTACCTTCCAGTATGGTTACCAAACTTTGGCTATGTGAGCACATTTCTATCTATATTTATAAATGTTTTATTAATACTCAAACTTGAACTTGTGTTATTAAAATTCTCTGTGTATGTATTCATAGCCTGAGAAGTGTGTATACTTTCACACATGTGGCATAGATAAGGGAAATACTTTGGAATCTCTTCATATAACTGAATACAGATGATTTTGAAAAGTTCTAGGCTTTTGCTCAGCCTATCCATTCCTTATTCTTCTCTATAGACATATGAAAGCATACCAATATGTTATGCTTATAATGATTGCGTAATCAATATAACATTTAGTTCTGTCCAGTATGAGTTTTGGAGGGCAGTACATTATAGAAAGATTTTCATAAAAAAGCTTAACCTATATTTTAAAAAGTTGTTTAAAAGAAATTATAAAAATAATTAAAAAAATGAATAAAAAAAGGAAAACATCAGTGGTCTACAGAATTGACTTGTTTTTATACTCAAATGCAATTCTAACCTCAAAAGTAAAGAAAAAAAATTCTTTCCCCAATATTTTATGAAACCCCCAAAATATTGAATGTTAATGTGTTATTGAAAGTTTAGAATTGGCCATACAGCTGCACCTGATTTATGCATGCACTTAGCATTGTGGTTTATAGATATACCAACTCTGGTATAATGGAAAAAATTCCTGATGTGGAATGAAAGACCTTTAATTGTCTAACCAGACCAGACTTCCCTGTATAAAGTAAATGTTCACCAAATATAATATCCTGACACTTGCAATTAGTTTTCTAAGATTACAGAAATTACTTAATATAATTGAAAGAAAGACTAGAATATCCTAAGAGCAGAGGTCAGCAATCATTTATCCCAGAACTAGTGTGAGTGTGAGTATGTGTGAATGTGTGTGCTGCTGGCCCTCTTGGGAGGATTGGGGTGATACAACTCTTGTTTTCTCAAAATAGTCATCTTCCACTCTCCATCGCTATGTTACTCCTAAACTTCCAGCTACAGGCGTTTAGCTAGCAAACAATGCAATGCTCTTCTAAGAACTGCCCATTAAGGAGTTTATCTCTTCTCAGCTGGAAGAACAATTCAGGGACGTCCCAAGAACAATCCCTAGAGTACTGAGGCCCCTGGCAGATAAGGAGAAGCCCCTTCCTGCTTCATGCACCTGCCCCTTACCCGTCTTCCCCTTCCCATTAATTGACAGGAGTCAAAACTTTGCAATTTTGTTTTCCTTAGAATTTAAACTAGTGCTACTGACCCAGATACCAGATCGTAAAACACCACAAATCTCAGGATATAAGAGAAAAGAACATACTAATACACAGTAGAGAGTTCTGGGAGGATGTGAGAATTTTTTTCCTTAAAACTACTTTCAATGGATCAGTTGTTAGACAAATTTGCAGCCAACAACTTAGAAGATACAACTTTTAAATTCTTCAAAAACATTTCTTTGCAATACCTACACAAGTGCTGTTTGTTTTCTTTCTTTTAAAAATCAGGATTGGCTTGGTGCAAAGATCCTACTGCCAAACAAAAGTACCACTTTATCAAGCAATTGCCTGAAAATAAAAGTGTGTTATTTTTGAGACAACTGGATTTAGTCTTTTGCCACTGTACTTGAAACATTTACTTTAAAAGGCGTTCTTTATGGCCTGGGAAAGTAAGTGACACTATTGTACCCACCAAATGGGCAGTGGTGCCACTTCATGTGGATGGTCCGTGACTGATGTGGTTCCCTAATCGGATGTCCTGGGCAACCGTCAGCCCGCATATAGCAGCATGTCTCTCGTGCACGTACTCCCAGATGAAAGCTTGGGTTTCGGTGAAAACTAGTGTATCATTATGCTACACGGACCACCTTTTTATAACCTGCAACTAAATGTGTTAATTTTTAGGCTAGGTCAAACAAAATACTCTTTGTGGCTTTCCTATTTTAAAGAGTTTGGAAATGTTCTCTTTTGCTGGAATCATCTGTGACTTTCCAATAGAGCTACATATTCAGAGTCCACTGGATTTATGGTATTTCAATGGTTTCCCTTAGCCTAGTGGTTTCTGAATTTGGCTGCTCATTGAAATAACCTAGGGAATTATTTCAGAAAGCCCGTTTCCAGGGCCTCACCGAAATCTTCCCTGCAGTCTCTCAGTGTGAAGCGCAGGCGTCTATATCTGATAAAGCTCTCCAAGTACGTACGACGATCACCCAGGTTTGGGAACCACTATCATAACCTATCTTTCCTAAACTGATTGTTCTTCCACCTCACACAGTTCTCCCTCTGCGCACAATAT